AGCATGCCAACCTCAGTCGTCTCATTCGAACCAGCAAGTATATGACTTTGAAACAAAGAAGTCGCGTTTATCAATTTACTATTAAACTGTCCTCATTCAAATTCAATTTGTGTATTATTTCCCATTTTTATGCCACATTTATTGCTTATTATAACGTAGACACAGTTGCTTGTGTTTGAAAACATTATTTATTATATGTGTCTGAGAAAAATGAATTAAGTAATATTAAGGGGTTACTCTGACAAGACATTTGATCTCTTCTTGGAGAACCGATTATGTCCCCTTTGTATATTTTTTTCACGGCCTTTCACTATATATTGACACAACCTTCCATTCAGTGGAGTTAGATTCTTGATGTGATTTACGTCCACCATCTGTGACACACTAACTGTAGAGGCTGTATGCTGTGTGAGCCAGTGCTGCGCTCAATCCTGCCTCCAGGGAAACAACAGTTGCCGACTGAGGTCAACTGTTTGTGTGTGTGGGGTGTGTGAGTGTGTGTGTGTGGTGTGTGTGGGTGTTTGTGTGTGTGGAGTTCTGCCTTTTGTCGCGGCTCATCAAAGACTGAGATGGCCACTTTTCAATTCAGCCTTAGATTTTTAAATGTATTTTCTCATTTCATTTTTCATTGAGACATCGTGGAAGAGAGCAGAGAACTGTGTTCTGTTACCATGGTAATGTATTTAATCTTTTGGTACGGGCAATACTTTTCCCTTCTGAACTTCTGGATAACTCGGTTTTCTTTCTTGTATTTATCACTTCATATTAAAAGAATGAAGTGGCAAGCAGAAATGGTGAATGGAGATGTAGCAGAGAGGAAGAGAACCCCTCTATTGATCCACTGATGGCTCCAATAATTTCTCAGCATCCAGGTCATTGGGTCAACATTCATCATATTTGCTACTAGTTTCTACTATCAGTTTTCATTTGATTTCCCAGTTCCAGCAGTTTTCCCCTCCCCTTTTTTTTCTTTCCGGTGGTCATTGTGTGGGGAACAAACGCTAAGCTGAGCAGAAAGTGGTTTGTTGTATTCTGCTCAGCAAGGTGGCTGCCTGATAACAGATTGTGATTTCTTAAACGTGTAGCGGCCTCCGGGTACCTTTTAAGATGTGAATCTGAAAAAGTTTGTGCCTTGGATGATATGGAACCAAAACATCTGTGATGGATGGAGTCTTTCCTCACAGCGTCTCATCTGTCAGACATTTCCGCTTGAGATTGACAAACCTGTCAGGTCTACTATTTCCTCTTTTAACATCTGAGCTTCTGCAGATCTGTTAAATAATTAAACCTCTCGTATCTTTGTTCATCCTCCGCTCTGATATTTTATCTAGAATCGGCTTTTGGTATTTTGCACCCTGGCTTTGGCAATGTGTTAATCAGACTCCAGCTCACTGATCCATGCAGGTCCTAAGAAGTTACTTACTGTGAATTCTCAATTAGACTTCACCATTTTAAAGTATTATTATGGCTTTTCGGGGTAACTAATAAATATTTTCCCCTACATTGGCACTGATCGGCCTTATAGTTTTGATAAGGCCCAGAACGCTCCGTGCAACACCTCCCTGTAGAGTGCACACACACAACCACCGGCTGTTTGTATCAGTGTTTAAATGCTGGTATGTGATTGGTTGACCTTTTACCAAAGCCTCGCCTCATTTCTGTTACTCTATAGAGGCTATTGGTCGGTGGGTTCTCACTTTTTGTGGCTCAGTAGGAACTTTCCTCTGAAATTTCTGAGATTGGGACCAAAGATCCAGCATAAAGAGGGTAAAGAGTCCTATCTGAGACTGCTGAGACTATAGAAATACACTGATAATATTTTGGGTTTGTGTTTAGCTGTCCACATCGGATGGAAGTCAGTGTAACAGGACTCTATAATAGCTTGTGTGTCAAAGGAAAATAGAGGGATCGGTGTAGAAGGGGCCAAAAGTGCAAACAATTTCAATCATAGGGGTTGCATTTAACAATGTTACAAAATACACATAAATACTGAAGGCCGAGTGTGTGGCTGCTTTTTGTGTAACTCGACAGTAGTCGGTCAGCTATGCCCGCTCAGAAGGACAGATACATTACAACTCATCTGACAGCATCGAAGAGAAGAAGAGCATATCTGTCATTCGAGGAAAAGATTCCTGACCGCACAACTATCCAATGCCCCGACTAAGATTAGACTGATGTCACTGCAACAAGAGACAAAAGCACAGCACACCGTTTGCACCCACTGTAAAGGAATATATTTGTGTTTGTAGTGGCTCCAAAGAACTAGTGCGGCATGTTTTGGGGTGAGGAAACAACAATTCTCAGTCTTTTTTCCCTTGCATAATGTTATTTATTGATTTTACACTCTGCATTATTCAACCGTATTTGGTTAAAAAATATGAGGAGAGGAGGATGCAGAAAAAGTGACTATTTATCTCTATTGCGTGTCCTGAAAATCGGCTTGTCAGTCTACATTTATCCATGTATACACAACCTTTTTAGGACAGTTCACTTGTGGGAAAGACTTGCCATGTCTAGGAATAGCAAAAAAATCTGTTTACTGTGTATTTGAAACAGGTTATGTGGCTTTTCTATTCCAGAAAATAGATTGTGAATGCTTTGTTTTCATACTTGAAACGGATTGAGATCATAATTATCTAAAACTTGTCACGTAATCAGAATATCCTCAACTTTAATGCTGAAACATGTGACACTTCCAGCTGGTAATTGTCTAATGGACACCTGAGAAAGAACAAAGCTCAGACACTTCCCAAGTTATTTTTGATTCAATCAAAAAGGGGAAATGGGATGAGGGGAAAAGTTGTTGCTCTCTCTCATTCTGTTATCATTTTCCTCTCATTGTCTCTTCCACTTTCCCCTTTCTAAATATCCTGTCCTACCCCAGGGCATCCGTAGGCTAAGCCATTTAAGAGAAACTGGAAGCAGAGCTATCGCACTGCCTTGGAAACAGTGTCGCACTAGCCACGTGTAGCTATGGCAATAATCCGGCCCATCTTCATGTTCCCAGCACTGTGCTACAGAGAACAGTAAGCTGGCTAAAGTAACTGAACTGATGTCTTCTAATTAAATGGTGGGCTCTGAGCCTGGATGGATTCACATTTGCGCTTAAGATGAAAAGGAGAGAGAAGACAAGGGATGAAAGAAAAAGAAAAGAAAATGTTTCAGAGAAACAGAAAAGGATGCTGAGATTACTGAAGTAGTAACTAAAGATGCATACAGACAAATGACAATCTAAAAAAAAAAATCACATTTACTTGTCATTTATGGTTCATACATTTGGGAGGGTTTAAAATTTATTGCAGGGTTTTTTTCTGAACTGGGCCAAAAAAGCCATTCAATTGATGGTGAAAGGGAGACAAAGATAGGTGTTAGAAGGGGGAGGAAAGAGAAAGTGAATTACTGTCTCTGAATCCAGCCAATACAGCCCTCTGAAGTAAAGTGAAAAACAGAAACACAGGCGGTGGGGAGAAAATGTGAATAGGCCTCCTCGCTTCATATGAATAAAATCAATTTGTTTATTGGACGGGGAATTAAAGAGTTGGACTTTGTTTAAGTGGCATCTACAGAGCTGGGCCCTGCCAAATGGAATAGTGTGCCACCACTAAACCAAATGTGAAAGCGACAGGAAGACGAGGGAGTACGAGTAGGAAGAGGTGGAGATGTAGGAGACAGAGCGAAGAGTGACCGCAGAATATCTACACTGACAGGAAATGTCGGCGAAAGAAAGACAAGTTTTTCAAAGTCTGTAAAGGCAAAAGGCAAACAGCAAGCGGTTGACAGAAAAACAGCGGGTTTATTGTGGGGTTTCCAGCAGTTTGAATAGTTCTGCCATTTGTTTTCCCCATGCTTCCCTTTGCTGTGGTCTGACTTGGCTCTGCCAAAGCATTCAAACTGCTGCTTCCTAGTAACAAATTAGATCTCAAACCAGTTAACAGTTGTGCCTTTATAAAGCTGCCTCCTAATAAGGGAAAGGTTGAAAGCCCACAGCGTTCCATATTTCAAATTTATTTAAAGATTTTTTTAAAAACCAGCAAAATACTCTGATTTTATCAGCTGCGTCGATAGCGTCTTAACGTCCACCTTCTTGCTGGCTTGCACACAGTTTGATTGAGCATGTAATCAAAGAAACGGAGAGGAGGGATTAAAGGGGGAAATGGGAGGGCTTGCAAACAAGCCACAGGAGCATGTATCAAACACAGGCACAGGGGTGATGAACGAATAATTCCACCCTTTCATCATCGACAGTCTCATGCTAAGTTTAAGAACTAATCAATTCTACTAATTAAATATAGTAGCTATATGTTACAAAACAATCTATACCTTAAATTAACATATAATGTACATATAATGTCATATATATAATTAACAACTGATGTTGTTGATTTTAATTTGAATTACATATGGGATTTACATTTAGTTTAGTGTTTCTAAATTAGGAGGGAAAAAAGAAAATCACTCATAGAAAAATGATCACTTCTCAGGACCGCTTAAAGCAGATATGGCGCGTTATTTATGATGCTTATGTGTTCCCACCTCTTCCTCTTAAAGGCCATCTACAGTGTCAGTAAAGAAGTAAAATGTTCAGCCCACTTCTTGAGGAATAATAATTAACATTTTGCCTTCTTCACTTTCAAACACAAAAATAATACACGTATTTAATTTTCAATGAAAGGAAACTTCTTTATATAGCTTTGTCTTTGGAAGCCAGTGTATCCGCTGTGTGGGTCCCCTAAGTATCTTATTATTCAAAGTGGAGGAAAAGGCTGTTTTTCGAGAGGCTAAATGCTAAAGATAACTATGATGGAGGCGGTCAACGTAGGACGAAGGATTGGGCTTAAAATGAAATCTAAAAGGAAAACAATCATGGTGGGAGATCCGTTTTGGATACAAGTGAATGAAAAATAGATTTGGAACACAGCTGTAGAAATATGGGTAGAAAAAGCAAGTGCTCATGTTGCATTTGAAAAACGTTAAGTGGAAAGCTGTTTTCCTGGATCGAAATGCCATATGAGATCAGCTTTAAGCTATGTAAATATACACATTTAAGTGAAAACAAACTGGCAAAACCTTCCTGTCGCAAGTCATATTACATAAACTCAGTCTCCACTGACATAAATGAACTGTCTAACACATCAAATAAAAGATTTTAAAAAACGTGGGGATATAAATGAACAAAACTCTGGGATATAAATCATGAAAAAATTAAGTGAAATAATATAGCCCGTAATGAATAATTCAAGCAATTAAATTTGATCGCTTCATCAACTGAAACTGGACAATTATTAAATGAAATTGCATTCAAACATTTAATTACCTTTATAAAAGGATAAAAAGAGTGGGGAAATTAGTCAGACTAGATTGTTCTGCAGATTATTTGGTGCACGGTGAGTTTTGCTAGGTTTATTAGAGGAATCTGTCCCTGTGCAATCTACCACAGTTCTTTTTTTAATAGTGGCTTTCACTAAGATAAGCAATCCACATTTAATGACTAGAAAAATGGATTAGAGATCTCTTGCTCAGAATATTTACAGCTACCTGCATCTGCCAGTGAAAAGACCCACGATTATGTCTGTGATTGTCGCTAAAAAGAGTATCACCGCTGTATGGCAGACATTTTGGATTATTATATTGCATTGTGCCTGCTGCTAGATCCTAGATCTACTAACCAACTCGTGGGAATGTCATGTGACAGATGTCCAGGACTAGATACAGAAAGGATGAAGCATGTAAACAAATTGCTGATAGAATTAAGCAAGTAACCAACTAACATATTAACACATTTTTAGTGTCATTTTTCAGTCAAGATCATGCCTCAGACAACGTAGAAAAAACTAAATGTTCTAACACATATTTTTAAAGAGCTAGTAGTAGATTTGAAGGGCTCTTGACTTTGTCTGTGACTGACAAAATGATCAGCTATATTTTGCTGGAAGTGCCATTTTTTTGGCCTATGTCACGGCACAGTTTGGGGGGAAAAAACAGGCGTTTTCTGTGCTGCAGCAGTGTGTCATGGCTCCAGAGGCTACTTAGTCCACTTGACGCTGCGTCATTCCCGATGCACACTGCTCCCATCGTGCGGCTTAGATCTCATAACTGGCCTGGAAATCATGGAACACTGCAGCTGGTTTGGCAGCATCAGCTGATTAACATTCATATCCTCTCTTGCTTGTTCCTGAGCACGCGCACACACACACACACACTCACACACACACACACGCACACGCTCCGTCCCCACCTCATTACGTTGCGGCTCATTTGTACGTATAGAACTTGACACACGTGCTATATTTACACACTTTTTTGTTCCATGTGCTCGCCATCTGTTACTCCTTTCAATAAGCTCTAACTACTTGCTTCCTCTAATTGCAATTAAAAGCTGTAGTTTGTGTGTGCGCAGGCAGACGCGTGCGTGCATGAGCTTGCATGAGCTTGCATGAGAGTTTTCAGCACTTGCAAGCTGCTGAGCTCAGCACTCTCTCTGTTAATTCTGACTGGAATAACTAAACAAAAATACTTTTCTGAAAGGAAAGGGGAAATAGCTTGAGGGCAGTGAAACTTACAACTCACATCCCCATCACCTCAGATGACCCACTTTACAGCAAACCAGATAAAACAAAACAATTATTTATTGTTTATGTACGTCTTTGTCTACAAAACTTGAGGCGAAGCCCCCTCAATGAAATTTTGCACGCAGATATATGTCATTACAACATAAATACACAAACCTGCACTTTTTTTTTCTTTAAGCCAGTTTTACAAGCTCCTCAGATACATTTCCTGTGTGTGTACGTGAGGGAGTCCAAAGGATTTTCCAATCTCCTTATTTGGTTAACAAGATTCAGCATACAGCAGATAGGAATGAAGGGGGACTGAGATAGCCAGACATAATGAGGAGAGAGTCTGTGAGAAGATGGGGAAACTCCCTGTGATGATAGAAAATAGTTACGATGGCACAGAGGAGGGTTTGATGTAAGCACACACTCCAACACACTCTCACTATTAGACAAAAATGGAGTGGCTACTTTTTATAGCTTTGTCAACTATTTTGTATATTGCTGTCCAATAAAAATGAACCTTCCCGTAAACATTATTTTAACAGCCGTGCTCTGTATTAGACTGATAAAATGGCTGGGAGCAGAGAAAAAAAGGCACCATGGTTTCTTGCCAAACTTTTGACCCATTTGATAAAGCCATTGCTGCTTTACAGAAAGGCCAATTCTTTTTTACAATTCTTCCAAAATATCAGCTATTCATAACTAAGTGGTCTCTTTCTGGGGGAAAAAATGGATTCACGTAGGATTAACTGCAATCTTGTCGCAAGTGTGTGTGTGTGTGTGTGTTTTGTGTTTTCATTAGCCTCTACACAGTCAAGATTATGTGTATTAGTAAGCAGACTGTATCTTATTAGTGGGGGCCTGGCTGAGTGGTGCCGGCCTATTGTTGTGGTTTCCCACAGTGGGCAGAATCATTATCAGCTTTGTAGAATAAAACATCGCACAATGGTACACACGCGCCCACTCATTGCTCTAATTTGTAAAGCGGTGCCGCACATACATTCTGGCTAATTAAATCATTCTCCGCAGTCACTGTCAGTCACATTTATGAAGACGGCACTAACTGCATGTTTGGGACCCTAAGCTGCATAAACACAACTTTGCACACAAGCATGAACCCATACTTACTCTCTCCATGTAAATCTGTGCAGAGACATAATGCATGCATACGGAATGAAAACACAGATCTTCAGATTTTTACTAAAACACATCCACCAAGCACTTTCCCCCCACGAAAATTAATGTGAAAGGTCAAATCTTTCCAAAACCTCAGTTTCCAATTGTTTTTAACATGAGATACACATGCGCAAAACAAAAAATCACACATACTGACCGCAGATATGAGTCTAGGTGATTCTAAGACACTTAATTTTCACACTACAAAAACAGACTTGCACGTTTGGTGCAACAATGCCATGTGTTTGCTCCTCTTCCTCCTACAGCGGTCCTCGTGTACACACACTGGAACCAGCAGCGCAGCTGTCTTTTCCTCATGAAGTGAATGAAGTGGTAATTCCCAATCTCAAATTTTCCGGCCCAAATACGTTGCTAGGGCAGGTTTCTTAGGAGAGGGGAGTGACCCATACCGCGGCCTGTTGTGCGCTAAAACTTCCTGTGTGAGTATGTAATCATGTGTTGCCAGGGAAAAGTGTTTGCTTGTGTTGGATATGCAGCAGGCACCAGGAAGGCTGGTTGAATAACGATAAATTGGATATTGGATTAAAAGAAATAAAGAAGGGCTCGAGCTCTCTTTTTACAGTTTTTACATTTCTGTGCTCCACATTACTGCCACTGGTGTCCAGTGTGCCATTCATTTCCTCTGTAAGGAACCCTAATCAGCTTTAAACTGCCGCTGGAAGTTGTGTAGAGATTCTTGTTTTAGTGAACTTTTATTTATTTTACTTTAAATTCCTGCATAGTTTGCTCCTTTGTGAGGAGTGTGGAATATGAGGATGGTAAATAAAGCAAATATGAACAACCTTGGAGACAATCAGATGGAGTATTCTGATACACTTTAGTCACCTACTGACCAAAAAAAAAAGGTTTAGGTGACCGTCGAGTAATCTGCCGGCTTTTTGTGCAGCTGTTTCTCATTTATCTGTGCTTTTCAAGTATTTCCAAGTGTTTCATAAACCCTGACGGAAATCTTGTCTGTGAAAGATCAACTTGTGAAACCACAGATGAAATGTGGAGAACGCGCTGGAAAACATGTGATGGAGGAAGCACTGCTGTGGGGATTTGTCCCAGCTGCTCAGACCGTCACTTGTTTTTATGCTTTTTAGCAAAGTCAGAGGGAGGACGTCTCTGTGGAAGGACAGATGTACACACATCACGGTCCCCGGAGTGAAGTGTGTGGCTTGTACGTGAATATACTTGAATTCCTGCAGCCAAAATTCCTTTAGTGTACTCATGTGTGGGCATGAAAGCACGCTAGTGTGAAATATTTGTCAGGCAAGTGCGATACCCCTTCTGTCTAAGAGTGCCATTGTATTTTTATCGTTGTGGTTTTGACTTTGAGTCCCTCAGAGAGGCATGACGTCTTTGGAAACTGAGGATTTCTTTCTCTCAAATGATATACAAGGTAAAGAACCGAGGAGTGTCCAGTCCATTGTTGCAGGGTAATGCTCGAAACAAATACAGATTCAATGTACGGTGTAAATTGTGCAATATTAATCTGTCAGACACATCATTGCTGACACACATACACCCACACTGATGGATACAAGTTGGCAAAGTGAGTGTACAGCATGTGTCGTCTTTCTCAAACACAGTTGTGTCAGTACTCACACACACACACACACACACACACACATACATACACACTGCTTCTCTGGAAACAATCTTCTCCACCCCTGTTGGTTACCCAAACAAAGTGTCGCCATGGCAATGGGACAGCGTGCTGTACAGCCAGCTGCTTGTCATGCAGCAGGATGTGTGTGTTTATGCGTGTGTTTGTGCGAGACAACCTAGATCGGGGCGCAGATCGAGATGATAAATCCAGTCCATTATGGGTGAATTACGTCTGCACTGATGCACTGTCTGGATATTCTGCTTTGACTGTGCAATCACGCAGGAATCACTGTCCAAGTTCGTCGAATTTCCCAGCAAGTTGTTCGTCTGAGCCTGTGCAAAAATATGGATCTCTACCATGATAATCTTCTCTGGAGAGTTGAATGTAACGCTTTACTCCCAGTTCTATTGTTTATTTTTAAGAGGATTTGGTTAACAAAGTCTTGCGGAGCTACTGTTTGGGATTTGGCTGAAGTTTCAGCCCGGTCTGAAAACAGAGAATCAGCTAATCAGCTGCTTGTTGCTGCCTCTTTACCTTGGCCGATGAGCCTACGATGAACTGTCTGGTTGCACTGCAAAAGACCACTTTTTCAGCTGCAATCTGGGGTAGAATGTTTGGTCTAAATATCAAAACCGCTTCAACGTATGCCTTGCCAATGGTTGGGTCTTTAATTATTTCAAGTAGATGCAGTAGACGTGATGTCCCCAGAGAGAATGTTAACATAACCCAAACGTCTCCCTCCCTTCGGCAGCAAGGTTAACTAACACACTCGAGCGCTCCACCGTGAGGCAGAGGAGGGTTTAACTCCATCGTCTCTTTGGCTGCTGGTAGCGTCAGTCCTGTGGATGTGAACGTCTCTGCAGCTAAAGGTGAAATCTGCTCCCCATCTGCCATTTTGGAACATGGCTTAGTGGACTAATCCCTCCAGTGCGCTGAGCTGAATTCTCACATTTGCATGTGTTTGTTAATGGTCGTGTGTGATACTTTAATGGTTTAACCTTTATGTGTGATGCGGCTGATATATTGAACCGCGATGTTGCAGTGGGTGATTACATAATTAGGGGACCGCGGCATATCATCGGGAAGAAAATCCTTTTTGATTAACAGTTACTATTTTCTAAACACCCTATATAACATGAACCATGGCCAGAGCCTGGGAACCTTTAGCTTATTGTGCTGATAGTACGAGTTCAAGTATGAATTTTGAATGCAGTAGACACAGACAGATGTTTGTGTGCATTTCTGCAAGAATAAGTTGATTGCATATAAACGACCGCTTTGAGTGCACGGATTCAAATGTAATGGAGCTGACACATTGCTGGAGGATGATCACACACAGGTTGGAGGCCTGTGATCATAGATAACACTTATATAAGGTGTGCATGTGTGCTCCCTTTTTCCCGCCCTCTAGGCCAGATTATGAGCATTCTCCCAGCTGTCTTTGTTGTTGCCTGTAGTGGATTGGGATCAGAATAAGGGGTTTGTTCCAGACTGGAAACACAAGATAAACACACATGTCCACAGGCACTCATTCACACACAAACACGCACTCCGCGCACCGCGTCCCGTTTCATAGTCCTGTGACTTGGAATATAAAGTGGCGTGCCAAATATGACCGAGGCCAACTGCCACAATAAATACTCAGTCACACATGCACTCTATGCTCTGAGGCATTCGGTAGGTCAATACTTGCTGCAATGCTTATTGGTTTATTGGTCGAAAAACTCTGCCTCAGACAAAGAAATGATTGTCTCATCCTCGTGCGTTGACAAAATGCTGTAACAGTTACCTTTATTGCCGTCGTGTCATAATACATCAGACATTGAAAGGTTTAGATGAAGGGCAGCTTGGTTTTGTGTGCCACAGATGCAGATGTCAGGGAACCTTTTTATGTGTGAGGAATGACACTAACTGGAGGAATCGATTTGTTAAATCCAAGCAGGTTGGAAGATGGAATTTGAGAGATGATTGTGATTGTGTGTAGTTTCCAATTTTTCTGTTTTCTGTTTGGTGTTTTGCCAATCCAAAATATTGGCAATCTTTTATTTTTCTTCTTGAAGTGTTGATTTCAGCAGCAGACATCTATTTCTATGAAAAAAGCTAAACCTTTGTTCTTACTTTCATACTCCATCTTTCCTTCCATCGTCCACGATAGTGGAGTATTTCTTAATTTCCCTGCCTAATGACCTGCTTATGTACTCCTCTGTTGAACTTTGCTTTTTCTCCTACTTTAAATTCAATAAAGACACATGGAGAATAACCAAAAATATAATCTCCTTTAAAATGGGAGAAATTATACTGACTTGCAATAGCTAAAGTTATAATAAATTGTTCCAATGTTTTAAAAAAAAATGGGGAAAAAACAGTTTGGAGGCTGCATTGTCATTCTGGAGCAAGCAGTTCTTTACAGCTAAGATAAGTGTTCAGAAAGAGTCAGACATTCTTCTAGGGTTTGAGAGAAATTCAGATTCGGGCCATGTCTGACAGATATTTAGTTGAGATTAGACGGCCACATTCATCCCGTGCAAGTGTCATCAACTTTAGTCAAATGGGCGCCATTTCACGACAAACATTCCTTACTGTCTTGGAATATTTCATTTGATGGGAGATGTTATAGTATTAATCATGTGAATTTCGAGAGTCAGTCAGTTTCCTAGCAGAACATCCCGATATGAAGCGATGACGGATGTAATATATTCAGTGCTAGTTGCTTGCTTACATAGAAGTTGGGGATGATCATTTCTGCTTCGGCTGCCATGCCTCATTGTCTTTAGCACTCAACTCCTTCTCTTGAAAATGGGCCTGACTTTAAGTTTGAGCAGAAAATTGAATTTAGCCTTGATGAAGCTGCAGGGTGGCAGCACAAAGACTTTATCAGGCCAGTCTTGTCACACTGATGTGAGCTCCTCTGATAGCATTAAAGATTAATCTGACATCAGAGGTGGAAATATCCAAACCCTACCAGTCTTCATGGCACAATGGCCCCAAATAGCCTTCTGACATTTCCTTTAGGAAAAACGCTGCTTTTTTGCTGCTTCCTCTTTGTTTTCCAGTTTTTCCAGCCTGTCCTGTCCTCACTGTTCTTTCTTCTCTTTCCCCCCTTTCCCTGTTCTCCTTTTTCCCGCCCTCCTTCAGTAAAACCATCAAGGTGAAAATAATTGACGACGAGGAGTACGAGAAGAACAAAACCTTCTACATAGAGATTGGGGAGCCTCGCCTGGTGGAGAGCAATGATACCAAAGGTCAGGAAGAGGGTGAGCCTCGTGACCCTGTGAATGTTGACCCTTGACCCCAGAGTGTCCGCCACACTGCAGAAGCTGCATGTTTTCTACTAAAGGAAGCATACAGGAGAATGTTTGGCCTTACATATTCCACTTAGTTCGCTCCTGTTGCTCTCCGGCTGATGCGCCCTGGAAGTGAACATGCAGCAGGCTGTGGGTCACTTCATTTCACCACATCCACAACTCCTCTTTTTGTGCGTTTTTGTTTGGTACATACCTTGCCATGCCGTTTGTTTACCATGCATGCATTCACCTCCTCCCTCTGTGTGTGTTTGTGTGTGTGTGTTTGTATGTGTGTTGTCCCATACAGGAAGAGCATAACCATTAGGATCTTAGACCGAGAGGAGTACAATAAGCAATCCTCCTTCTACATTCTGCTTGAAACCCCCCAATGGAGACGCAACGGGAAGGAACGGACAGGTGTGACAGCCAATCTGCACTGAGAATGTACTTTGAGCTTTCTGCTATCCATGAATCTTCAAGCCTTTCCCAGAACAAACATTTAATCAAGAAATGTCCTATGAAAGGAATAAAAGCCATAGACTTAAATTATTTCTAACTAATGCACGATTAATGAATATCTAATGACTGAGTTAGTGCTCTGTGTTTCACAAACTGTTGGTCTCATGGTAACCAAATTAAAACATCATCAGTTTAGAAGAGTGTAGAAGCACTTTCCACTTTATTCTGTCGAAAGTCAAATAGATTTTAGCCTAAAAGCAGATTGCAACTTCTGTATATAGAAATATAGAAATATATAGAAATCAAACATTTTACATATGAATATCATTGCATGATTAAACATTTGTGAGAAGGGGTAACTGAACATGAATATCATTCTGTTTCAATAAGTCAAACCTGTATTGGCTGTAGTATAAATTCCCTTAACCTTCTTTATTTGTTAACTAGCTAAATCGTTACATTAACGATTGATAATAAGCTCAATTACCTCATTATACATCCTGCATTTATTCATGCCATGAATCTCCAGCAGTCTTTAATAAGTAAAGCATGATCTAACAACCTATTTGTAGTTAAAGGATACAGATTTTTATGTGCAACATTAGTTGTTTTATTTTTAAGTCAAAATGGTGATGGGAACCAATGCAGCTGTACAGAGAACTGGTGTCCAGATCTTTCACTTTCCTTTGGTTGAGAGCAGGTTGTATATTGATCACTGTAATGTGTTCATACTGGGAAAAACAGATCAAGTGAAAACATGCTTATTGACTCTTACTCTGACTATTACTCTGCTTTGGTAAAACAAGTCAAACTGAGGTAACAGCTTCCAGCTGTTAGAGTCGGGGATATCTTGTGTGTGGTGGTGAAACGGCTCCAAACAGCACCACCAAGAAAAAATAATCTATTTAAAAACTGATTTATGGAAAAAATATTTAATCAATTCTCTCTGCTTTTATTGGAAGACTTTATTATGATAGTGGTTTAAGTTTGATCTTTTCTTTGGAATATTATATTATATTCAGTTATAACACTTGACGCAAATAATGTTTTTTTATGTTTAACTCATTGTCTGTCTTAAATAATAAATATTCCAGAACATAACAAATAGATGCTGGATTTATATAGTTACTCATGGATAAATAGTTTATATTCTTTCTTATATATTATGAGAAGTAAAAGCAAATCTTCAAACTTTAACAGAAACAAGAATAAAAACGAAAACAGTTTAAAAAACTTTTTTTACCTTAAATTGTATAATTTTTTAATTCTAAAAGTCAAGTTACATAGTGATGCAGGATTACAGGCTTGTAATAAATGCAGAGAACACATTATCTAAACATGAATTGTGTAGCCTTATGTAGTGTATAACATTTTGAAACAATCTCTTTTTTCCAATTTACAGATTACCTTACATAAATTGTAAGAAGCGAAAAGATGAAAGGGTTTTCCTTGGGTTCTAAATTTTTCGCTGAGATAAGAAAAACAGTTTACAACTGGAAAGGGTAAAAACTCACAGGTTAAAAAAGTACAAGAAAAAAATCAAAGCTCTTGCACTTCTACCCTATGTCTGCCTTAGGTGACAAAACACAGAGCTGCTTACTCCTGTTCAGTCATGTTCTAACAGGCTTGTTGATCTGGGAGAGATGCTGACGCTCCTTTTTATCCTTCTGTTTTTCTTTTTCGTTTCTCCACTTCTTCAAAGATATGATGTACAAGTTGCAGTCACACCTGTCCCTTCCTTAACTTTCCTCCTCTTTCTTTTTCCTGCTCTTTGCCCTTTCCATCCTCGTTGTGTCAGAAGTTTTGTTCTATGTTGTTTGAAAATGTTACCTTTCGCTTCATAGTCTACTACAGCCAAACTATAGACTGTTGGCACAAACACAGAGTTGATAATCACATGATTTTTGTTGTGTTTGAGACTGAATGGCATTCAGAGATATTGTATAGATTTTATTGCCATGACCACAAGAGATCAGAGAAAATTGTGAAAATGTAAAAAAAAAAACAGGACTCAGGGCAGTGTGGGAAAAGAACTAAACAGCTACAATGTGTAGTTCAAAATGGTATACTGAGTCCAAATGCCAAAATATTTTGACCAACCGACCAGATTGAACTGAGAAGAAAAAGCAGAGAAAAAAGATGCAGTCTTTCTTCAGATTCGACCCATTTCAGTGACAGAGGTTAAAGACCACTTATTTATCAAATCAATTATTGACTATGCACTGGGAACACTGTACAAACCCACGGATTCTGAAGAGGATCATTTCTAAGATCAGAATCAATATATATTAAAAAATGTTTTAAAAAAATAATGGTCAAACTCCCTCATTATCAGATCAAGATTAGATTGAATTATATGAATTCTGGACAGATACTTTCACATTGTGTAACCTCACGGAAACTCTGGGAACATGTACTAGGGAGTGTATTTTCTTTTATACAGCCTATTTCACCCTGTGTAGCTGCAGCTGATTGTGCAAAGTCACAGCCAGCCTTTCATAAACGTCCATCTGAGCCGTTTTGTATTTGGCAGTGACTAACCCAATAATGCAATAATTAACCCATCCAAATGGCAAACTGACGTACTGTGCTCACAACATGCTCACAGGGATGCCTCAGTCACCACCTGCAGGCATAAAAACTTAGAATTTATTATTAGCCTTTGTGTTTTTAAGTAAATACTGCCACAATCTGAAAGAATGTCCCACAAATCGAAAGCATATTAATGAGTTCAAGGTAAATCAGCCAGTCTGTGTTCTCAGGTCGTCCCCTAAAAGGAGTTTCATGTCACTGAACACACTTCAGGTCTTCAGGGTGCATTCATTAAAAGTAGCTCTGTCTCTGTCTCACACACTTACACGCAGCAGTGCCATCAACGTGTTAATGGCAGTGTGTGTGTTTACCAGCCATCAGCAGTGGTTATAGTGATCAAAGGCTGGATATCACATTATCACAGTCAGGGGATCAAACACACCTCCGGGGACACACAGCGAACACACACATGTGGTCCAGGGGCTGCAGTTGGTTTGTGTGTTTAATGACGGTGTTTTATGAACGATTGTGGTAGTTCCCTGTGCTAAATGAGCCCTGCTCAGATCTTTATGGCTTTGGCCCATTTCTTTGTGTCTGGGTGCGTGCGTTTGTGTGCATGCACACGCATTTCTCCCATGTCCATTCACACTTGGGGAAAGAAACAAAACAACAGTGTTAAAGAGTGTTGCTTCTTCAGTTAATGTAAAACAGAACATGATTTTTTTTCAAATGATTGATATTTTTTAACATTAAATTTTGGAGTACTTGTAATTTGAGGAATAATATCAAATAAGTAAATTAGTATGAACCTTCTTACAATTCAAGTAAAATATTATGTTATAAGGTTAAACATATACCTTATGTGAACATAATGTACATGCTATCCAGTTGCAGTGTCACAAGTCACAAATGTTCTATAAAGAGAAAAACCTGTTTTACTGCTGTTGTAAAATATATAATTGATAGCATTGGCTGTCAGGGTCAGATGTTTGCAGCATTTTAAGTTTTAAATATTAAGTTAAATTACACGTTTATTTTTTTTCTTCCTTTTCATCCTCAGATGGCAGTGGTGCAGTACAAGTATTCATAAACTCCAGCTTTGAAAGCTTGATAAACATTAGAAAACAGAGTGGGTCCCACTGCGTACATTTATTTATTCCAGGCTATAAATATGCATTATATCAAAAAACAAATTAATTTGGGAAAATCTTCTCAGTCTAGCTTCTCAGTTCCAGGCTTCTGTCTCCCTTGTCCACAATTAGTTATAACTGGGGCTGTTATTTTAGTAATATTCTCCTACCTCAGAGAGATAGAGATAAAGACATTCTGAATGGGAAATAGACTTGTTTTTTCTCTTTGCAATTTGACACAGTTGAGCATCCAGGTTTTTAAGGAAGCGTTTAAGTATCCCCCTTTAGAGATGGCAGGAAATGGACCAAAACAGCCACGTTCACCCCAAAGTGTAGATTAGCGTTTCAATTTTGCCTTCAGATTTTGCCTCATTGCAACAGCATTGTAAAGACTAGGAGAGCAGCACAGGCTGCTATTCATGGTGGAATCCAGTAATGTCTTGTTTAATCTTTCATCAAACCATAGTTTATATATTAGTGAAGTACCTCTGAGCCAAAGATAAAAGCCTGGCTCTTGTCTCTGTTATTTCGCTCTTATTTAGTCATTTCACTGTAAGCTTGACAGCCTTAATGTGCTGACTTAACAAGCACTCCATCTTACATTTTGTAAACTGATATTAGAAGCCATGCATCATGCATCAGAGTTCAAAAATGAGGTGGAGACTGTACAGCGACAGAAATAATGAAAGCAGAAAATATGTTGATAATTAAGGATTATACTAGCAGCAAACAATGTGCTGCTGAAGGTTGTTTCCATTTATCACCCAGCTTAATTGACGTAGTCCCAAGTGGTACAGGGAAAGCTCGGTGCCTCTTTGAAAACTGTCTGGATGATTTAAAGCCTCCGGTTTGTTTTTGTTTTTTCAACGATCACACGTCACTTAAGACACCATTTGAGACTCTCATGACTACGGATTGAAGTGGAGGCAACGTAATATTTTAATGTGTTTCGCGAGTTCATCCTGCCGTTATTTGTTTCAAAACTAAAGTAAAAAGGTGTGATTTTTTTTTTCTCTTGAAGGATTTAACCCTCATCTATTTCTGGCACAGTTTTCCCTCAAGTACCCTTCAGCAACATCCAGAGAGCGGGTGCAAACTTGTGTCCACCCCCGGTCTGTTTGTGCAGGTGAAGCTCTGTAACGTGACGCCTTCCGATTGAGCTCGGGGTGATCGGGGGGGCCTTTTTGAAGAATCTTGATGAATTTTTGCCTGCCTTTCATGTTGTCCGAAGGAGCCCTTAGAACAGTGGGAGGCGCAGGAGAGTTCACAGCAGCCCACAAACCTCATTTGGTCATCTCACTGAGAAATATGCAGCATTAGGAAGGAGTGATGCTGAGAGGGAAAACAGCTGAATACACATCCCCCCTGCAGCGGGTGTTGACCCCGTGTTCTAATTCACTAACGCACAAACATGCCTGGGCACTCCGAGTATACTTGGAGTCAAACATGCACTGCCATGTTTCCACAGAAAGATTTAATATGGCTCATCGTTGTCTTCCTCCCAACTTCTTCTCTTCTTTTTTAGCATTTATGTTTACACCATCACATTATGGGTGTCACAAATGCAAGTTTCTTTAATAGGCCATGTCGCCGGCGTTTCATTTGTCTGCTTTTGCGTTTAATCATGCATTAGTACAGAATACCATTATTAACTCGGCTGGAATAAGATTATGTCAAAACTGCATAAAATGATTGAGATATGATGCAGTTTTATGATGCCAGTGTGTGCTCACCAGCAACTCACAATATTTAGTTTGATCATTAGTATGCACAAACCGATTTGTATTTCTGTAACAAACAACATTAAACAGACATTTTAATGGGGCACTGGGAAGCAAAGTAATTTACTGTCATTATCAGGACGAGGCACTAGACAATTCAAATTCATTGTCATGTCAGTAGTATGGAGTCGTTAGTGAGAAACTTTCACATTATCAGCGGTAAATGATATTTACTAGTACAGCTTTTCAGCATTAGAATAGCAACTGAATATGCAACATGAGCATTAGAATCTGGAATTATACATTCACGCATCCATTAGTAAATACTTTTAAAAACATGAAAAGATATTCTAACCTGGGCAGGTAACTTAAAAAAACCCTTCAGTTTAAAGCAATAAATTATTTGAATTGTTTTGAGCTATTATGCTTTTATTAACTTCTTAAATTTTATACGTAATATAAATACCACAATTAATGGAGGTGCTAACCAGGATGAGTTGACCTAAAAGCTAAGAAGTGGGGGGGGGGATCATCCGAGTATCAAACTCTGATCAAAACAGAAAAATACTCCACCGCAAATGTCAAGTGAGTGGAATAATCTACCATAGACTATTGATTGAATGTCAAACAGCAGCTATTCATCAGCAAAAAGAGTAATGACTTTAACATTCCCAGATTAGATATAACAACCAATCAATCAAACTAAACATGTATGGAAAGAGGGAATTTAAGTTGTTTTCTGTATTTACTCGGACACACTCTTTGAAGGTTATCTTTGTCCATCTGATGGACGGCAGTTCCTCATACATTCCTCTGCTCCCTTCATCTCCCCCTCGCTCTTTTCTCTTGTATTCTCCTACGCCATGGGCAAAATAGTCAAGCTTGTTTAATCATGTCAGGTGTTCTTGTCCTGCGTTGGCCTCCTTCTTCCCGTGGCACATGTTCACGCTTCATCTCTTTGTCACCATTTCAGTCACATCTCCGCAACGCTTAGTCCAGTCGAAGACCTCTGTCATCTCCTGCCCATCTTCTGTCTTCTACTCAAACCCTTGTTGGGGCCGTACACTAGTCCCCCTCCTCCTCGCATCCTCTTGTCTTGTATAAGTTGACAGTCTAAAACTATACACCAGAATCTCTTCCTTTATATCTGCTGAAAGCTGAGGGCATCTCACATACAAGCCCCTCAACATCCCTCCACCTGTAGAGACTTTTTTTCAGGCCATCCACTTCCTGTCATTCTTTCTCTAATGAACTACAGACCCCAAGACCATGACAATGTGTGAGATCCTACAAAAATTTGAGCATATTTTGTAAAGTTGACATTCTGTACCTTTTTTCTCACCTGCTTATAACTTGGCAATCATCTCTACCGACTATGTTAGAAGAAGTGGCTTTAACTACTTCAACCATTTTTTCCCCCAAATTAGATTCAGAGGTAGTTGTATGCAAGTCTGATCACACAGTGCCAGGAATGGTTCATTTGGATGAAGAAACTCAATCTAAAAAAATCTCAATCTCAATCCAAAATACTAAGAGGTCTGACCAAGTATAATCAGGATGAAGCAGCATTTCAGACAAAAAGCTAAGCCCTCTACAAAAGTGCTTTTAAATGTATAAAGTCTCTGGTGACTGAGGAGTATAAAAAAACATGTAATTCAATAAAAAAAAGAAACCAGACATCAGACTCTCCAAAGGAAAAATAGACAAGAATAATAAGAAGAGCTACAGTTGGACATACAGGGTGAAAACACGATGCTACCAAGCTGAAAGAGCAATCAAAAAAGAGAAAAAGCCATCAAAAAAGTAATGGCTGACATGAGAGAGAGAGCTCTTTTACACCAAAACTGAAAAAAGACACGAAAAGCCGACATAAGCAACCCAAGGAAGATGACACAGAAATGAAGCTGCATTGTTTGTGCCTCTAACCGAATAAATGAGGGAGAGAGGCCAGGACGAAAGAGAGGTGGAGAGAGAATAATGGTAAAGGAAAATAAAGATTTATGACGAGCTAGAAATGGTGATGCAACAAAATGCAGATATTTAAGGAAACTACAGAGATTATATCCTCATCTTTAATGTAGGCTCATTTAAAGACGCAGTACGTGCAGAGCAGAGTAGTTAAACTCTTAAGCAATAGGTGTTTCTCCACTTCAGCTCAAAAGCTTCACTTATAGTTAATTGAGACGCAAAGGAAGAAGGACGACACGTGGGGGTGGGGTGTCAAATGATAAACGGAGCAGATGGCGGCTTGGACGGGAAGCATCTTACCCTGCAACATCCAGCCTCTGTCAGGACCATTTACACATCCAGACTCACCGAGGAAAGAGTTGCTAACAAGGGTTCTCCTATTCCAACACAAGGTTTAGTGTAGGACGTTAATTGAGCTCATCAAATCGCCATTATTCAGTGTGTAAGTGTGTGTTCGAGTACGTGTTTTTCATTGTAATTCAGTCTTATGTAAAAAAAAAAAAAAAAAAAAACCTTCAAGGGCATTATTGTAACTGTCATCAAATGGATTCAGTGAAAAGGTCAAAGAAAAATACTACCACCCCTTACAAAAACTATCATAATTAGGTTTTTTAAGCACATCATCCCCCCATTTTAAGATGTCCATCAATTTCTTAGGTACAGTAGTTGCATAGTAAAGTGAAAGGGTTTTTATGATTAAAGTAATAAGGTGGGACCAAAAGAGGTGACAGAGGTTCCTACTGATTAAACCTACCTTGTTCCAGCAGGCCACAGATTAACCCTATAGGATGTCATTTGAATGATGCCATGTCAGGGGGGGTAATCTGGTGCTCCTGAAACTGTAAAAGGAGTCGGCTGCATTAGTGGGTGAACCAGGTTTGTTTTTTTTAATAGAAATCTTATAGTACAGTCGTTATAGTATAGGCGTTTTTAAAGTAAATGTAAAAAAGTTTGAAAAAGTCACTTAATGCCTGTAAGTTAAAGGTATGAATCGCATCTAAACTTTACTCAGCAGTCATTCTGTGCCGGCAAAATTTACAGCGTTTTCTGTGTGCTGCGACGAACCAATTATTCCGTTCTAGCTGTGCACTACCTTGATTTGTAAGCTGTAACGAGAATAAATAATTACTGATGCTGCAGGTTTTTGTCTTGGCTTCTCTCATTTCAGCATACAGAGAGATGCAAATTGCCTCTTATGATGGGGTCCAAGTAGAGCAAAAGTGTACCGTGCATAAATTTACGTGACTGTTTGTGGGAGTGAGCCTACACGCTCTGTGCTCTAACTCAACTGAGGGGAACAAATGACCAAGGAGTTCATGCAGACCCACAATGCTCTGCAGTATAATGGAAGCCAATTGCACGGGTAACCGTTCCCCCATGGAAAATTAGATCATAGCCATTCTCTCTGCTCCCTCAACCTTTTGATCCCAGCACTGAGTTCTAGCTCTACTCTGAATCTCAATTACTGACACAAACCACAAAGACAGGGGCAAGACAAGAGAGGGGCTGGTGTGTGAGAGCCAGAGACAAGGGTAATGAGAAAAAAGACATGTATCCTCTTAGTAAAGCAATTAAAAATGACCAAAAACATTCAATTGCGTGAAATGGGTTGAAACCATTAAGCACACTGGCAAGATGGCGCCTCAAATCTCAAAACGACTGTCGTATCTGTTATGACCCGATTAGTTTCCCACACTGACAACAGGAATAACAAAAAATCTGCATCATCAAAATTAGACTGATCTGATGTTGCAATTTTCTAACTCTGGTACTGGCTGTTTTCCTCATCTTTTTCAGAAGAAAAGCAGAAGGAAGAGGTGGAGGAAGAAGAGGCGCTGACAGGGAAAGATGAAGAAGAGCGGCGCATCGCAGAAATGGGCCGCCCCATGCTGGGAGATCATGTCAAACTGGAGGTCATTATTGAGGAATCCTACGAGTTCAAGGTAAGACTGGTTGTGTGTCTTTGCACGGTAAGACGATGGCTTATCTAAAGAAAATAAACTATTTATTCTGTCGGACTAAGCGCAGTCTTGTCGGCCTGCGTTTGTATAAAAGGCTTAATGTTGTTCTCTTGACATTTGTTAAACATTTTTGGAGAAATGTACCATAATCCTCCCAGAAAAACAAACAAATCACCTCAGCAGAACGGATGCCTTGCTGGATTAAAGCAGTTCAGGAGTTAGTTTCCTTGGTTAGTTCAGAAAATCCCACATGAAGCCTGTGTTCTAAGCTTGGGTGCTGTCCTTGTTTTTATATTTATATTAGCCGCCCCAAATGAACTGACCTTGCACATTAAAACCGTGACTTGTATTTATGATGATGTGCGCTGTATGAAAGCTGATTCGCAAAACAACTTCAGGGGCATTAGGATGATTTAATTATACACTTAGTTTTGAAATAGTCCCATCAAATCCCATCAGACAACATCATTAATATTTCCTGGGAGTTGTCCCTGAGACAGTGACAGAACGCACGAAGGACTGAAGTGACTGTAGCTGCAGTTTATGATATTATGAAGCTGTGTGGACATCTTTTTTGAGCTTTAGCTACTCTCCTCTGGTGGTTTCACTGATCAAACAGAGGTGGTTGTTGGTTTGTGGTGTTTTCTATACACGCACAGACACACACCAGCTCAACTCAATGGCTACCACTGCTTCTAGCTCAGTGGGAGAACAAGCTTTTACCCCCAATTCCACCCCTACACCTTACAAACACAAGATCATTAAGCGGCAAAAGTGAATCAGTACTGAATCAAACTGCCTGTGAAAAGAGCCCCCCACAAAACAGCAGCACTTATTGCCCTTGGAATGAGGTTGATTTCAGAATAAACAAGATGCCATGTGTTGTGCCCAGACCAAACAGGAGCTACTAACTGGGAGGGGTCAGACTTGCCGAAACTATCATTAGGCTCGATGAAATCTTTGAATAAGGAAGAGAATAAAAAACACATCCCAAACCCAAAACCAATGCAGCATCCTTCTGATTCTACTGTTGGAGCTGCTTTGCCCTGAAATCTAAAATGGCTTGCATAGAAACGCACCTGCTGCACAAGGTAAAATCACCTCCCCCATAGTGTGTACTGACCAACCGTTCTGATGCGCACAGGAAATTACAGTAATGTGTTTGTGCATTGTTGCCTTGTATTTTCTTCTCCTACGCAGACTTTTAAGACGAGCTTAGATGTGATTATCATCCATATTACATATTCTGTGTCTGCGCGTACTAATGCATGTTCTTTGCTGCCACTCCACCTACACGCTCACTGCAGACAGACAATTAATAACTCCCAGTAATGGCTTGCCACTTGACAGGATACCATACTTTGTCAAGTGCCTCAGTGCATGAAATTAAGGTTTTGTGTGCATCTGTTTAGACGTACATCCTGTAGGAATCTTGAAGAGCTGCCCAATTGAAGAAAGTGACATGTTTGATATTAGGCACAAAAAAAAGGAAGTATAAAGCAAGAGCAATGGAAATGTGAGTCCGTGATAAGATTGTGTAGAACTGACAGAAGCTTGTAAAATGCTTTTTATTGTGAATGGATAACACCCTGCCTTGTACTTCATCCCAACTTTAACCATTTAGTGTTATTTTAGCAGAACAAGATGTATATAAAACGTAAACGTGACAGAAAAATGTGCTCAAAAAAGCATGACTATGAATGATAATCTAAGTAATGGATTAAAAACCAATGCAAGCATGATGAAAATAACATCAGAGAGAAGGAAACACTGTGTTACAAAAATCAAACTGGGTATGGTTAAATAAACACTCCACATACAAAAGGAAGAATGAGGTTGGCTGTGTATGCGTGGGACCACAGCAGCAGCAAGGAACTATTTACAACACTAAGCTCCATTCAGCATATTCCAGTTTCTCTCTGTCTGCAGGAAAGAAGAGCAATCCCTCCTGCACACTTAATGTTTGATGGGTTTATGTGCATGCTGAAGTGTCTGCGTTATCTTAATCTGTCATAGTTTCTTCCTTTTTGAAGAAAAAACAAAGAAAAAGTATAGACACTTGGGGAAAACGGAGACAAAGAAGAAAGCAAAGCCAGGAGAAATAAAGAACAATAGAGCAGAAGTCCTATTTTCATGGAAGGCTTCTGAAGCAAACAAATTCAAGAAAGACTGAAAATGCACACGGGTTTGCATTTGGGCACTTTGAACTGGACTCAACAATGTTAGCATGTATGAAAACTGTATTGATTAACTTTGGCTCATATTTTGTTTACTGTATACAGTATTTTGGCTGCCAGCCACAACACTTCATGATTCATAGCCGAGCATCAATCAAATCTAATCTGACACAAATTGTTTTGCATTCCACCTGAAGTCACCTCCTTGAACTTTCAACCATGTCTTTTCATCATCCTCTGGCCCCAGAGGCTTTGGGAAGTTATTTGTTATGTTGTTATTTGCTGGGAAAAGCAGTCGTTCTTTCTCCCTCTACACCATGAAGTATTTTTGCAGATTTCCCACCCCCACTGTTTAGCTAATGACTAATTATTACTGAACAATTAGATTCAACCTATGATATGACATTGAAGTTGGCAGACATAGCTTTTGCGTTATCATTGAAAAATAAATGCATATTGCCCAACACAATGGCAACAAAGTAAGGGTAAATATTGGTGCAATTATAAGAATTATAAATTCTACAAAAATGGATAAGGAGAAATATTACAAATTACATTTAGGCAAGACGGGAAAGGATTTAATAGACTATCGAGGTTCAGAACCACCCTTGATTGAGCATAATTTCTAATAGTCACTATCAGTAATAACACTTTTTTTTGTCACATGGAAAAAAAAGTTTAAGACTGTAGTCTATTTTTGTTGACCTCTTCAGCCCTTATTGTGCTTTCTTTTCTCGCTTTTTCAAATAAATTGTATTAAATCCTGCCTAGTTGGAAGATGAAAGACTGTCAAGGAAAATGGGAAATGATCTGGTCTTTGTGGCAGCAGCACAAACTGTAATAACATCCTAATAAGCTATAGGGGGAGAGAATTTAAATGTCTTAGATGCTCAGTGAGGACACTAATTGTATGTGTGTCTTTTTGGCAGAACACAGTGGACAAGCTTATAAAGAAAACCAACCTGGCTCTGTTGGTAGGAACCAACAGCTGGAGAGACCAGTTCATAGAGGCCATCACTGTAAGCGCAGGTAAGGCCAACAGAGGAACTCACCAGCGTTTGTGTGTGCATGCTAATTCAGTTTGCTTCGGTTTCAAACTCTGCACTGAACTGGAGACTGTCGAGGTGCACAATGAAGTAAATATGTCTACAGCTTGTGCTTTTTTTCAGCTGCAGTTTCATACTTCGATGATCTCTGTGGTGTCATCAACTCTGTGCATGCTAATGTCATTATAGCCCCCAAAACACAGCTGAAATCTCATGCATGCTTAACTGGAGCGAAGCAATTTCACGGCTTCGTGTAGCAAACAAAGCATGGAAAATCACACGGTCCGTGCTTGATTCAAACTAAATAAAGGATCTAGAAAAATGAGCTGGGAAAAAAATAAACTATACATATGTTCCATACTTTTGGTTTTTACTTTTTTATACAAACAATCCTCTGTATTCGCGCTGTAGTTTGCCAGCCTTTGTTGGGGAGCTGTTTCCATTAATGAAAAAGCTTGTCTTTGCTCTCTTATCTGGGATTAGCTCGTCTTGGCTGACAGAGTTGTGTTTGTGTGTTGGAGAGAGAACTGTAAAAAGGTGGTGAGTGTAGTCTCCAACTCGAAAGAAAATGCCTTTAATATGAAGCAACTCTTGTTTTCTCTTGTACTTGTACAGTACAGCCTAATGGTATTGTACTCACAGACTGATTGAATGCAGCAGGGCCTCTACTTGATGATTCAATCATTTATTCGCCTTTGGGGCAACACTAACACACACATACGTGCACGAATACCCACAGTTGGCAGGCAAAATGTTATTCACAACTAAGCTGGGGGCTGATTAGTGTTTTTTTTTCATGGCTTTAAAGCTGAGGACGGTCGAATTGTAAGAATGTAAAGTAGCTGACATAGAAAGCTGATTGGATGCTCGCAGATCAAAGGCAAAGTTTAAATCCAGCTGTGAAAAAATGCACAAGAGCCGGGGAGAAGGAGAGTGAACAAAATGAAGCTAAAAGGGCTGATGAGACAAATCAGCTTCTTGCTGATTGAATTGAAAATTAAAGTTGAGAAATTCAGATGCATCTCTTGCTAGGATATTCCCTGAAAAGCTGCATATACGTTTGGTCATATAAACTTCGGGTTGAAGCAACATGCAGGGAACTGCTTCTTTAGCTGTCGTCACCAGATCGCACCACTTTGTTTCACTTCGTTTCACAAAACCTTTTTAACGCGCAGCAGGGCTAAAGCAGCTAAAACAGGAGTGTTTCCTCTTTTCATTAATTTAATTGGATGAAGTTGAAACTTCTTTAGGATCAAAAAACCTTACAAGAGTCACTGTTTTTCCTCCAGAAACCAGAGATTTCAAAGCAACATCAGCAAAACGAATGCTTGATGCTAATGTCTCTGTTCAGGCATTTCTTATAAGTTTGGTCACCATAAAGTTGAAAACTCTGATCTGTTTGCCTCTTAGTAGACTGGAGCCTAATCCTTATTTAGAGTGCAATAAAACAAGAGTAGAAGTGAATAAGAAGACTTAAGGTGGTTTTAAATGTTTCTATACATTATTAAACATTCGATGGCTTCCGCACCTAGATACCACAGATGTGAGAAAGGTCAAAGATTAATTACTTTCCCTGTGGTATTAAAAACATGAATGTGTATGGAGGAAATGAGGGGACATGGCTGTGGCACAATGCAGGCCGGGTCACATCTCCGGGCCTTAGATCTCAATGGATGGATTGATTAATTAATGGCTGGTGGGTGGGCAGCTTTTATACTTGGAAAAGAGAATTTAAAGTTTAAAAGCAGAGTGAAAAACTGATATAAATGGCGAGATGATGGAAAGAAAAAAAAAAAAGACGTTTAGCCTTTTGACATACAGTAAAGTGCAACATTGCAGATATTTACATAATGCACTCTTCTCTGTGATACTACCTCATATTCTCTTATCACCTCACAAAATATCACATTAAAATTAGGATTAATAACTTTAAACAAGCATCAAACATGCCTTGAAACCTTATTGACCTTTATCTTCAGGCCTAAGGTGTCAACTTTAGATCTGATGATCTTATTTTTGCTAAAAGTCTGCACAAGATGGCAATTTAGAGGCTTTGTCAAGATAACGGGCTTTACAAGACATTTAGGATCTACTAAGACTTGATCCTGAGGTCACCAATTCATAATAACAGTTAGGTACTTGTGTGCACATTTGTGCACAAGCATGCAAAATGTTTGTGGGATGGTGACATTCATCTAAAAGCAAGAAAACCTGCATTTAACGAGCCTTTCAAGTGCTCAGAAATGTCAGCTCGCTGATGCCGCGCACGCTACTGTGTTCACAGACCTGCTTTCCTTTTTGTGGAGATTTTTGAGAATGTTGAGAGGCCAATGGAGACTGTTCAGAAGATAAGCCTGAAAGGAGCGACAGAAAAGAGATTAAGTGCATTCATCATTGTGCACATGCTGGATGTGACAAATGCGCAAGTCAAAGCAGCCTTACAGTTCAGCCCTGGATGTATTTGTCATTTACACATTAGTATTTGTGTCATATACACTTTTCCGCCCATTTGATAAATAGGCCATAGCATCTGTTTTTCATCTTAAAGAAAAATGTAGCAATCAGTTGTTAGTTGCTGTCTAACATTCAAATATTCTTTACATACATTTACACTATGCTAATATCATCAAACACATTCTTGTCCGTTTTTTAGCCATTTAACAAGAAATCCACTTGGTTATTTGAATTCTGAGGGTTTGTATTTCCAAGACTGTGAACAAAACTGACAGTATGCCAAAGGTACAAACAAACAGACAACAGGAGGGGGGAGAGAAATCAATGTAAAGCAAATCAAGGTGAAAACAGGGACTGTTAGAGCAGTGAATGAGAGGTGAAAGTGAAAGAAAGTAAAGGATTGATGTTTGACAAAGCAGCGCTCCACTGCCCTCTAATTACTAAGTCCACGGCGTGTTGTTCAATCACTACTCCTCTGTGTGGGTGTGTTATTTATGGAGGCGTGTCCGTGTGCCCATGCTCCAGGGAAATGCAGGTTAATGTGCCATTCTTTGGAAAACACTGGAAGAAGAAAAATAAAGAGAGAGGGCCTTTTGTCATCACGACAAAGAGAATTCACAGACGGAACGTGTTGGTCATTGTACAGCGTTCATTTTCAGAATTTTCACTTTGGAACGCTGAAAAAAACAAGTACAAAGGACGATTTTTGTCAGCTTTTGCCTGTCTGCTCTGTACACAAACTGTTATTTCCAATCTGTGGATGATGAGCGATGACTCACTAAATTACTGATTATTTCATTGATTTATTTGTTAATTGTTGCTCAAAGAAAAAAACCCCAATGGCTCATTCTGTGACGAAGCGGCTGACAAAAGCTCAAAAACAGAGCGCATATAAAACAAATTCAAATGAATTTTCATGGATGGAAGGAGTCACTTCTGAGCAATAGGAGCGACTGGCTCGTCAAACGTTTCGATCTGTAAAGCTGAGTTAATCGTATTACGCACCGAGGAAAGATCCAGTCCTGTTAAAGTGTCAACTGTCTGCTTGAGGCCCTCTGGTGACTCTGTGCGCCCCAGACAGACAGACAGGATGACAGGACCACTGGAACATGAATATAAACATGAGCATATCTGCGTGAATTGTGTGACAGAGGCATCGCACGCACGTAATTAGTCGCACAGCTGTCACACTGCTCCACGCTGAAAGACAGCGCTCGTTAAATTGAAGTACGGTTGTGCGTTTGTTCAGTAATGTAACGCCGGTTCAAATGCTCAGGATCAAAGCGGCTTTAAAGTTTGTGGTCAAGGCTTTCGGAATGGCGGCAGGATTTGTGACCAAAGTCTCTTTGAAAAATGTGGGGGGTATTGGTTTTTGATAACCGGATTGACTTAATTCTGTCCAGACCGGAATCTTCACCACCAAAGAAAAACCCAAAGACAAATTGGACGGCCCAGGTTTGAAAAATGCATGAGCAGATGTCAGGCTGACTTTTTCCGCCATGCTGATGTGTGATATTTCCCGAGATGCACCGAGTGTATGACCTGCTCACCTCCGGTTGGATTTCTGAACTTCTACCACTTATGTGTGAATATCTTCTGTGTTCCTCTGTCCATTAATGTGCTGCTTTCTAGAGTGTGTCCTTTCTTGTTTGATCGCACAACCCTGCTGGCAGCATAGATGTATGAAGCCTGACATGAATTATTCCAGGGCCTCCTTGTCTTCTTATGGAGCGGGTAGTTGTTGTTTTTTTCACAGTTGTGAGGTTTTCTACACAGCAGTTTGTTTGGCCGCATCAGTGTAAAACAGTGGCGTGTGTGAGTCTGGATGGGTGGATTTGTGTAAACACACCAAGATAGATTCTCAGAAATCTCCTGAGCCCAGACCATATCACTTAAAAAGCAGAAAGGCTGGTGTGCGCGTAATCGCGGAGGCTCAGCTCGGTTGGCTAGCAGCCTGTGGAGAGGAGCCGCAGTCCATCATCTGTCAGACCTGTGAGAATGCAGCTTCTGGGCACGCTCAGTGAGCAGCGCGAGATAAGAGCTATCCACTACCTCTGTAGGGCAAGAAAAAGCAGTAATGTGGGGCAGATGAGCTGTTTCCATGTCAGGTAAGATGTGATTCTCATCGCGTGCACGAGTCTTATTCCCAGTGTGGGACACATGATTGTTTGACTGTTTTTCTATTCTCATCCGTCTTTTTTCGGGGGGCCTTTATTTTCTCTTACTCTCCTATCTGTTTGTGCACCGCCGTGGCATTAAAATACCATTTTATTTCATTTTCTAACTTGGACTAAAACTTCCAAAACCGCAATGGCTCGTATGTTGTGTTTAACGGGGCGTTTGCTTCAGCAGCTTCTGTCTTTTATTTAATCAAGATCCTAAATTGCAAACCATTTTTCTCACACGTTCACAAATTACTTTAGCAAAATTCTTCTTTCCTATTACAGCTGGCTGCTCATGTCTTCTTGTGGGCGTCGCATCACAGAATGAGACGTAAGCAGTTAAAAACAGTGGCTGAACATCAAAAGTGTTCATGAGTTTATTACGGGTCTTGATTTAGCTGGCATTTAAAACTTACTAACTGGCCTTTACAATGTATCATCCACTCTAAATGCAGAGTGCCTCTCTATAGGGCAGCGGCTCCAGTGACAACTGAGGCATAGAGGGACAGAAAATGAAAAGGAAGAAGAGGGAGAGGGAAAAGGTGTGATAGCAGGCCACATGCTAACAAAGGCAGAAAGGAAATGAGTGAGAAATGGCACTATTGATCCATGGCAGACTGTGTGGGATGGAGGAAGGGTGTCTGACAGCAAGAAGGGAACATAACTCAGGTAAAAGGACTTGTTTTATAATTCATTACCGAGTGTGTCTGTGCCTGTTCCCAACCTTCAGTGGATGAGGCTATCGCCCTCGGCTCTGACCTTCTGCCGTTCATTCATAGTTGATGATTCAAAACATTTATTTTTAATTATGTTAAACAAGGTTTCTAGCCCCCGTTGAAGCTCCTGGCTCAACTTTGAATTAGTGTGCATTTGTCTTTATGTTTTCATTTCACGACACATAGCCTTAATCACAATCAGTTTGCTTCCTGACCTGATCTCTCAAATTGAGAAACACGGCTGTGTTTGGGGGGGGGGGGTTTCTGTTGGTTTTTCACAAAAGCTTCAAAAAGGTCATATCGGTACCTGTGCAATGGGACCTCGTCAAGAATTAAAATGTAAGGCTGCATGTATCACAAAAAAAGAAAAAAATTTCTCTTTCTGAAAACAAGGTTGTTCATTAATTCAAATACTGAGTGCCATGGTACGTGTGTCTTTCTGTGTTTTATGCTCTCACTTTAACAGTTATGTTTGCCCACGGGGGGCATAAATGCTTTAAATGACAGCTAAAGGTTCTAACTGCATGCAGCTTTATTTTTAAATTCCAGATGTGTGAAGAACTGCGTGAGCTCCTTTCAGTTATTCAGTTTTTGTCAAGTTCCAAGAAGAGGTTTGCTTTAGATGTCAGTTGATTGTGGTGAAAAATGTTCATAGATTGGTTCAAATGATTCTCTTAAATTCAGTGATGCAGCATTTACTCTGCTGTCATTATCTAAATGCACTTCTCAACACCCCCAACTCTGGCAGACTACCACTGTCCCCTCCCTATGGGAACATTTTTGTTGCTCTGCATCTACCCGACACGTTTGGTTCTGTGCAGCTTTATGAGATCGGGATTTTCAAACCCCAAAATAGTAAATCAAACAGTGTATGAAATAGCAGCTGAAACAGCTTGTTGATTCATCATTCATTTAATTTTAAAAAATGGTAGCTGTTTTGCTAATAATTTATCAGCTCTCTGTACATTTATGTAATTGTATTAAATTAATCAGTTTTAAAGTAGCAGGCAGATTAATTTACAGATGAGCTCATTTTTCCTTGGAGGTTTTAACTCATTTTGATCTATTTCTTCTCTAAGGTACAGTTTTTTAGCTCGTCTCTATGGTCATGCTAAGTTAAAAGTTGTTTAAGTTATTTTCAGAATAATTTATTAGTTATTTATTCATTCGGTCTCTTTTTTGGGGGAAGAGCAGGAACACTTCAGCCACTGATTCACATCAATCAGATCAAATACGACTGAATCTCTTTTCCTTTCGTCCAGGTGAAGATGATGACGATGAGGAGTGCGGGGAGGAGAAGCTGCCGTCGTGTTTTGACTACGTCATGCACTTTTTAACTGTCTTCTGGAAGGTTCTGTTTGCCTTCGTCCCACCTACTGATTACTGGAGCGGCTGGGCCTGCTTCGTTGTCTCCATCTGCATGATCGGACTGCTGACCGCATTCATTGGTGAGCTATTAAACTTAACTTGCACATTACAGAAGGTTGATGTTGTTCAGGGGGGAAAATCATGTTCAAATTTCAAAAACTAGATACGAGAACCTTTTCTTTCTTTTTTTTACGTGTAATTGAGCACTGTGGCACTTTGATGTTGTTACAGGTGACCTTGCTTCTCACTTTGGCTGCACAGTGGGCCTGAAAGACTCTGTCACAGCAGTTGTGTTTGTTGCACTGGGAACCTCTGTGCCAGGTAAGAATGCTTTTTATATGCGTATCATTCGTATGCGATTGATCACCAGATCGTATGAATCAAATTATACTCTGCTAATGATATTTTACATAGAAGGTTTCCATAATGAGTCTGTGTGTTGTAACCATTTAAATCAAACGACAGCTTAAATTATACAGGACTGTCTCAGAAAATTAGAATATTGTGATAAAGTTCTGTATTTTCTGTAATGCAATTAAAAAACATGAAATGTCATACATTCTGGATTCATTACAAATCAACTGAAATATCGCAAGCCTTTTATCGTTTTAATATCGCTGATTATGGCGTACAGCTGAAGAAACCCAAATATCCTATCTCAAAATATTAGAATTTTTGAGTTTTTTCAGTTGATTTGTATTGAATCCAGAATGTATGAAATTTCATGATTTTTAATTGCATTACAGAAAAATAAAGAACTTTATCACAATATTCTAATTTTCTGAGACAGTCCTGTATATAGTGTGCCTTTTTCGCCTTGTTTCCCATTATATGTTTGGTCTCTAGTTACACCTGAAGATCAGTGTTCAACATAAAGTTTTCTTTTGTGGGTTTTTTCTCTGGATAGAAAAACTTTACTTCAGCAAAGGGAAAGGACCATTTTGACTCTTTCCAATGGAATTCTATGGAATTTGTGTATGGAGTTTTTATGGCAGAGTAAGGCTCTAAAAGAAGGGGAAGGTTGAAGAGGTGAACATTTATTGAGTCCAATATACTTACCAAGACTCAATTTGAACAGATAAGGCAAATGATGAGTTTACTGTTAGGAAGTCCTTGCTGAGTTTTACAAGCATATATTGCAAACTACTTACTACTTACTTTTACTTTTTTTACCCAAAGGTGGAAAAATGTTATAATGTGTTGTAACACAAACTAGAGATGACAGTTTTTTTGTTTGTTTTTTAATCATAGAAGAAGCTATTTGCCATTGATTGGTCAATATATTTTAGAAAGAAAAAGCACATATTAAAAAGGGATAGTTGTGGCTATGGTATTGTAAAATAAGTGGCTGTACCTTACGAATCTGGTCCCTGTTAAGTTGTGAAATATCCAAAGAAAATCATAGAGTAAGGATGAAAGGAAAAATAAACATAACTTACATTTTTCCTACATTTGATACATAGATTTTTTCCCTAAACGTTTCTTTCTAGTTCTAGTTCTAGTCTAAGATGCCTATTACAAAAGGCATGGCAGATTGTGCAAAATAAGATTTGAGCTTGATCCATGCCACAAACGCACACATACCTGTGTTACAGTGCTATTTATCTAAGCCAAAACATAACCTTGATGCCATGATGCAGAGATGAGAGGAAGACACATACACATTCAAATGAGAAACATTTTGCACACACCTATTCTTATACTGTGAACCCAATGTGTTATTAGCATACGTCTGTTTATCATGTCAAGCACAGGTGGTCCCGATCCACCTATTTAGGGTTCTGGGGTGTAAACAACACATTATATTGTATTTTGTACACACTTATACTCATTAAAAATGGTCAGACATACAAAGGAAGTTGCACACTTGGCATCAGCTGCATTTATAGACAAATACACCTGCTTGTAAAAAAAATAAAGAAAAGCCTACACACAGATGTGCACAAAATGCTTAGAGCCGTCGAATAAAAACAAAGTGCTTCTGCCTTTCTGAGCCTCTCAGCCTTATTAGCAGAACCTCTGTGGGCACACAAACAAACATAAACAATCACACAAAGAAACCAAGCTCCAGTACAATGGCTATTACAGTTAATAAAACCCATCCTGCGCTGCGGTCCCATGATGATTAACCTCGTTTATCACAGTTAGCCTGGTTAACAGACACACACACAGACACACACACACGCACACACAAACACACACAGTGAAATGCAAAGATACTAGTAGAAGAGAAGCTGTTTGAAGAGAATTACATACTCAAACTAAGATTTACGGTTTCACTATTCAGCTGAAACCTTTTTTAATGTCATGAGTTTATGAGTTCAAGTCGTATTTTAAGCATATCATTTATCATCTCATGTTCTCAATCATTTTTTCAATACATTAAAAAGCTTAGAAATGCACACAGTTTCTCTTTTGGGACAAAAAAAAGTTCATGGAGGAATACTGTAATATAATACTGTGTTTGGAATTGTGTGTCAGCCTTGTTAAGCATCATTAAAAAAAACACATTGTTGATTGTTTTAAAATAGAGACAGACATTTAAGACACATTTTTAATTTATTAAAGGCTTTTGTTAAGAAGTGCGTTCCATCACCAATCTCGCGCACTCACATGTACACACAGTGCTTGTTCTATTGCACATATTCAACTAACTGTTGTTTTTCCCTACTCCTATTGGGATTTTAATGCCTTGTCCAAGAAACCTTTGTATGGAGGGGTTGTAAATTTAAGATACTCAGTTTGGAATAAGATTTCTCCTCCTAAACTGCATCTGTCACCAACAGACTCAAATTCAGCTGTTTACCATTGATAGTCTGACAGTGCCAATAATGTGGTGCACACTCATTATGCAAAATAGACATTCATTGAGACTCCAGATGCCACTGGGCTCTGAAATGTGCATTTTAATGCTGAACAATGACGTTTGTTTTCTTTTCAACACATCTTCAGTGTCCAACCTTCAACTAATGCTAGCGTACTGGTGAAATACTTAATTTTTTTCAACAGTTTTCTATGGTCACTTTCTTAACAAAAAAAAAGGCAGATTGAGAACATCTAGTCCAAACACGTCCCCCTTAATTTTCAAGAAGCTGTAAAGAACAGAAGGGGGATGTGGTAGAGAGGGGGACAAGCACTGGCTGATTGACAAGAGAGGTAGAGGAAAAGGGCAGAAAGCTCTCAGGGGAAACATACTGTCACAGAAGAAGCAGCTGAGTGGAACCTGCTTCACACAAACTGGCAGCATCTACAGAACATGCAGGCACCCACGCACTCTCCCACTCAATCAGGCTCACGAGCACTCAAAGCAACTGAAGCACACACATCCACTCCTTCACTGGTCGGTGGCGACATGGCATCTGATTGGTCCCAGGTGGCACTGTTCACAATCACACACACAAGCGCGCACATACGTGCACTTTGAGAAACTTGCACACGCGCGCAGCCTTAAGGGCAAACGGAATTAAAGCTGTTATAAAAAACACACAGACGCGTTCACACAGCTCCATGACCTTTAGAGCTTTAAGGTGTGTGGCGCATACTCTTTCACTGGTCTTTTCTCCCGACCACCCTCCCCTCACCCTCTTCTTTTCCTTCCATCTCTTCACACATCTTTTTAGTCTGTTTTTCGCGTCAGTTTTTTTCTTTTCCCCCCCCGTCTCCTCTCGCTGTACAAAAACTAGATTACTTCATTTGCAAAGAGAGAGAACAGCCAGAAATTGAATGAGAGGAGAGTGCTGACCACTTGGCTATTTGTACACTGAAAAGCCCATTGTTGAGATTTGGCATCGTGGCCAGTGCTTCTGTCAATTCAATGAAGAGGAGTGTCCCTTTGGAGCTGCTGTAGTTTGGCAAACATGAAAACGGTGGAAATTTAGCGGGACAAAGCAAAACAATGCTGTTTAATGGCCCTGCCAACATTCGTTTGTGTCCATGCACATGGAGATTCAGGCTCGGAAATTATTGATCTTGGATCATGTCCTACGTGTGCTGAACGCCAAGGACTGAACTATGTAACTTGTTTAAGCGTGGGTTCTGAATAAAGGTCTCTGTCTCAGTGGCAACATTTTTGAAAGTGTGTCCTTTAAAGTGTAAATAAGTGTTTAGTGTAAAAAAAATATTAGTGTAACTACAAGTTGAAATTCCCTCAAAGAAGCAACGTAAAACATAGTAAAGTTGGATACACGAGAAGATATTTACTCACTGAATCAATTCACAGATGGCAGAAAGATTGCTAAGAGGCGAGACACCTATGCCACAGTCGTCTTTAATGTTGAAGAGCATGTCTGGACATGTATCTGGTCAGGCAAATATCGGGTAGTTGTTGGCCACTATCACAGGACAGGTCTGTGCTTGACAGATGGTCTCACTTCTGACGATGCATCCCAGTCAACCATCGTGTCTACCAAATATGCATATTCATTTTTAAACTACGAACATTTTGTCACATCAGTCGCTCTTTGAGGAAAACATTGATGAATTCTTTGCAAGTTCTGGAAAAAGAAATGCTGAAAAGGTTTCAGTAAGACAGAAATGAGACTAGTCACATGTGCTGATGTCTCAAATCTGATTTCTCTCTCTTCTTTATCTCCCCATCCAGATACTTTTGCCAGTAAAGTAGCTGCTATCCAAGATCAGTATGCAGACGCATCCATTGGTAATGTGACAGGCTCCAATGCGGTCAATGTTTTCCTGGGCATTGGGGTGAGTCCGGTTTGTTAAATGAATGTATGAAATATTGACAGTACACTATGGCTTGCACTGATTTGCTTGTGAATGGGATGGTTCCCGTAAACGACCAGTGAGCGTAATGTAATTCAGTTCTGTTCTGCCGGTGCTTGACAGGTGGCATGGTCCATTGCTGCCATTTACCACCACATCAAGGGTCAGGAGTTCAGGGTGGATCCTGGCACGCTGGCTTTCTCCGTCACACTCTTCACCATCTTTGCCTTCATCTGTGTCGGCACTCTGATGTACCGACGGCGGCCAGAGATTGGTGGAGAGCTGGGCGGGCCTCGAACTGCGAAGGCCTTGACCACCATGTTGTTCATCAGCCTGTGGCTCCTCTACATTCTTTTCTCCTCACTGGAGGCCTACTGCCACATCCAGGGCTTTTAAGATGATGGGAGATGAGATGAAAATGGGTGGAACAGAAGCAGGACAAAGAGAAATAAACCAGGGGGAGATGGATGAATTAAGGCTGTCCCATTGATCTCTCACTCCTTCCCATTTTGCAAGTATAGAGTGACAAATGAAGGGATGGATGTACAGATGAAGGACTTTACGTTGCATTAAAACAGAGTGTAAGGAGGGACTATTTCATGGAAGGACAACATGAAACATGAGAATCATAGCAGCTAAAGATATCACATGATGGGGTCAAATGAATGAACAAAAGAATATTTTATTTGTTGCCACACTCCAAAAATTTAAACCCAAGATGTTGTCTTAAAACAACTTAAAATGAATAAAACACATTTTTGAGCTTGCAAAAACGCACACACACACACACATAGTAATAAACCCACAATGTGTTTCACCTGGTTTAACCACACAGAAAAAAAAAACAGTTCTGACATCAAGAGAAAAGAATTAAAATAGACCATCAGAGCTCCAATGCCTAGGAGCGGCCTTCAAAAACATCAACTGAAGCCACCTCTAGTTGGAGCTATGCACCTCCTATACTATAAAACGTCAATGTGTGCATGCATGAGCAGATGGTACTGAAAACACAATCAGAAGGTGATACGGGATTCATTGCCACCACTGTTTAAAGACAACAAGCTGTATGCGTGCTGGTGTGACTGTGTTTTTTGTGCTTGCGTGTTGTGGGAAGATGGTCAAGTACTGTGAAAAAACAAAAAAAAGCGCCTCTCGTTTTTGCTATCGCCGTGTGCGATGAAACGCTTTCAAAGCCGGGGTCTTCTCGACTCGTGCTATCCCAGCTTGTAGAAATGCTGAGTTGGACTCCCTTTGTGGGAGAGCACATTTAAGTGAGGCGAAAGCTTTTGGACATTGTTGAAGTCGGTTGTGTAAATACAATGAGCTGAACATACACTACAGCTCGGGAGATTTTCTTCTGAATGTCTTGGTTATGCCATACACTCCTGAACGGACCCCCGTTCTGTTGCTTTATACTGTAGATGTAAATGATTTAAGGTCTTAATTGAATCAAGAAAGGGATAGTGTGCTTTTAACCTTTAATAAGGCCATGTTTGTGAAGGCAGACACTGGCCACATTACCGTAAAAAACTGTTATAGAAACTATAATCATTGCATTAGTATCAAAATTAATCTTATGTGTGTTTGGTTCTTAACTTCGGGAATTATGCCATCAGGTTTTCCACAAATTAGATTGCCATCTAATTTTTTAATCAATCCATTGCACTACGCTTCTAAATAAAAAAAATAAGTAAACAACCATGTAGGCACGGCCCTCTGTGCAGCCCGACATACTGTTAATCGTGTCTGCCATTATCTCACTTTGACACAGCTCAGCTCTCTAAACAGCTTCAGTCAATATCCCTGTGCGTCTTAAGCTCCTCTCCCTGACTGGTCAGCGGACCAATCAAAATCCTCAAGGGCTTTGTCACAACCACTAACCCACCACCCCGACCCTTGATTTATCATTTTGTGCGCAGATCAGCCATTAGGGAGACATTTTCCTGGGGGCTCATATTGCTAAAGCTCACACATTAGTCTCTTGGTTGATAAGGCTTTGCCTCAAAACATAAACTACATAAGATAAACTACATATCCCCTCTAAACATCAGTGATTTAGTTTCCAGAATTCTGGCATGAGCATTTCTTGGTGGGAGAAAATCCATGCAGCTTTATTCCAAAATAGGAGCGTTGTTGTTTTGCCAAGGCCACCTCCAGTCATGATTATATCTAAATATAGTTCTCTTTAGGCTGGACTGTGAAGGCCTTTATCCAAAGGAAACAATAAAGGTCGGACTTTTTCTGTATTAGGCCAAGTATCTGCTCTTGAATAAAGAGCCATAATGTAATCTGTGGGATTCACTCCATCACAGTGAACATGCAAAACAAGCCTCATCACTTTACGTCTGCATCAAGTATTCTGTTTCAATATGAAAGCCATCAGATGAAGAAAAAACTAATGCAAAGTATTTGCTGTTGATGCAGAGGTCAGTTTACACAGTGATGAGAATAAACTCCATAGGACAAGGTACATGAAACCTCAACCAGCTTCTGTCTGAACAGGAGTTTGAAGGAAACGGTATGATAGAAAGATTTTAATATTCTATTTGATCCTATTTAATGTTATGCTCATGGAATTACGCCTATCCCCACAAACCTGTGTCCAAAAATGTTCTGCTCAGTAATCGTGATCGATATCAAGGATAATGGTGTCAGTTTGTTGTTCAGACTAAACAAATCAAAGGTTCTCAGTTTGATTTTAGAATCATTGAAAAACTGTTCATACAAAGTCTTCTTTAGGTTTATTCATATTTTTCAATGTGAATATAGGTTTATTCCCACAAGTTAATGATGGTGTGAAAACCACATGGGGTTGATCTCTGATCCCCCATTAGGATTTCAAATGATACAGAATAAAAAAGATAGAAATCCTTCTCAGTTTGCTCCTTCTCAGTTATCCTGGAAAGCACTTATGTCTGTACTCAACACATATTTCCTGACCAAGATAATGCAAATAATTGTCATAAGTCATGACTTCAAGTGCATGAACATCCAACCTCACTTTGATTCGGGGCCTTATGAAGTCTACAATTGGCATTATTTGTGCTGTTTTATTAAATTATCTAATAATCAGTTTGAAAATGTGAATCGGCCCTCTCAGTTTTTTTATTATTTTAGCTCGCCTTCTGCTCTGTGTGTGGCGTTAACACACAGAGCGTTAACAATGAACAACAAATTAGATGTAGAATTAAAATGTAGCTGTTAAAAAAGCTAGACATCAACTGAAAAATAATCCAACAGGCATATAATTATTTGGACTTTGGCTGTAAGAGGAGTCCAGACTAATGGACTATTGGTCATTTGATTATGCTGAAACTATAGAGATCTCAGTGTAGACAAACTTACTTCATAGACATTGAATAGCACTACTGTATGTAACTGAAATGGCCAGACGTTCCCTGCTGATGTTTTTTCTTACTTGATGTATAATATAAAGAGTATTTTGGATTTCATCTGTGAAGTAGTCTGAACTAGATGTTATTCATAGTAAACGGTAGTCTTATCATACAGTTCTCAAATCCAGTAACAGAACTGAGCAGAGCCCTGGATTGGATTAATTTGCTAAGTCCAGAGTATCTTAAAGATTTGTATTAAACTACAAGATCAAATAGTAGCACATCATGGAGGTCCGGAAGGATGGTCACAACTCCTATGTATTTGATTGCTGCAGGCATCTGTTGCATTACTGTTGTTGCGCTATTTAAACACAGAAGAAATTAGGTTATGGAAGCTCTGATCAAATAATCATTTGTTCTCCAAAAGACAGGACACGTAAATCAGACATTGCATTGCATTTGCCTGACTCTGCAAAACGTAAGGTTCTACGTCAGAGTTCTTGTACAACGTATTAAGGCCTTGGAGTGGCAGTTTACCCCTGTTTTGCCAAAGGGAAATCTTTCTATTACCAACTTGATACTTGCAGTCCAAACTGTAAAGGGTTTTCTAGCCAATGGCTCTTTCTTAAAACACCAAATGTTTATGTTTCATCAACAATCTGATAACAAAAGATATATATCCTTGAACTGTTTTAATCTTACCCAAATCTTTGTATTTGAATTTGTATGTACTTGTCTCTTCACTGGCATAGAACTGAAGGTTTATATACTGTACAAAAGTTATGTTAGTTTGTTCACAAAAAAAGGGGAAAATCATTATCGAAGCCGTTGGCATCACTTTTTAAGTAACTTCAATAGGGTGTAACTAATCTTCAGTGTTTCTAAATCCGATTGGACTTACTTGAAATGTGATTGTCATCTAAGATGTTAGAGTAATAAACAGGAATTAAATGCTTTCAGTAATGTTTTTCTTTTCATCAAATTCATTTGTTGCATATTTTTTTAGGAGCAAACATTATTCTTTAATGGGGAAATTATCTCTTTTGCTACATCAGCTTTATACCATCTATCTGTGTATGAACCTTGACTGAGCTAGTCTGACATGAAGCTAAAGGCAGATCGAAGACTGCTGTTAGAGGTTTGAATCAAGGTGGGAAGCTGAACAACAGCTAGCAAATTGTTAGCTGCAAACGAGCATGTTTGCTTGCTTTATCGACCAGTATGTAAATACCAACCAGGCACTTTCTCTTATGAAGAAAATCCAGACCCCCAAGCAAAAATATAATAATTCACATCACTACTTGTTTGGTTTCCCACCTTGGCTTGGAGTCAAAAGTTAGCCAGGTGATCACTGTACTTGTGAACTCTAAGAGCAAGCAAAGAGTTGTAAAGGAGCTGCTAGCAACAGTTGTTTGGTTTTCTTTTCTAATTAAGAGGTTAGGGTTTTAATAAGTGGGCAGGGTTTTACATGAAGGAAAAACATTGCACAGGCTCCCGTTGCTTGTGTAAAGTGGCTATAATGTTTCAACAAGATTGCTTCTAATGTTTTTTTTTGTTTTTTTACTGATTTACAAAGTAATAACAATGTACCTGTAAAGAAAAAAAATTAATACAGTGGTGTTGAATCAGTTGTGAACCATTAATGATGTTGCTTCTAATGTAAAAGTTGATGTTTTTGTTGCCTAGGTCACTCCTTAACTGACTAAACTGTCTTTCTGACGAATAAATGCAACACCAGATGGTCAAATAAATGAGAGAAAGGAAGGACAAACAGCCCTGCTGGTACAAGCAAAAATGTTTGGTGGGAAAAAAAAGGAAACATACTACAGCTATTCTCTTCCCTTAAGAAACATATAAAAAATACATTGTAAAATGATGTTATGAAAGAGAAGGTGGGGAGGCAAAGAATACATGGATGAAGATTAAAAGAAAAAGTTTTAGAAAAAAAAAAAAGAAAATATATATGAAGTTACAGCCATACAATGATTTCTGGGTCAGTGAGCTAAAATGGACTCCTCCTGCCCAGCATGTGTATTGTTATGATGTCTTATCTGTCCCTTT